CTGTGAAGTATTATACTTGTAATTATGGTGGCATTTGGATTTATCAGTGTGTGTAAGTATGTTTATGAGGAAAGGAGGAATGGGGATAGAGGATGAGCAAGAAGGGATTCTTGTCAGACTCTTGTATCCTTGTTCAGATTAGTAAGAGGCCTATGTCACATCTAGATGATAAATAGGACAGATAATTTCCAGGAATATAAAGCACATTCTTCAGATCACATACCTGGCAGGAGCTCAGCAGTTAGAATACACAGAAAGTGTTATGAAGTAGAAGAAAATCATCTCAGTAGAGAGATGGTATGGAAAAGTATTGGTGATCAGTTAGAAATGTAAACTCAAAGGAGGAATAAAGGGTCTATATTGTTTTTTTATTTGTCACCTAGCATGTGGCCTGAGGCTGTGCACATCATAGGTGCTCAGGAACTACCTGGTGAGTGCATGATTGATCCCAGAATGACCAAAGTAGACCTATGAGAATATGAAATTAGGTCAATCACAGGAAGCCTCATGGAATTCTCCATTTAAATTGGTAAAAAAGCAATAAACAGGAGGAAACAGGATTCAAACGTAAAGTCCAAGTATGATATAAGATGCAAACCAAATCTATATGTTGTTCAACTAAGGAACACATGCTGCAGAGCTCCTCCTGGTCCGAGAGTTCTTTCACTCAGATCTCTGGGCCTATCCCGTGCTGCCTTTGTCTACCACTGGATATAATATACTTGATTATTTATCTTACCTTCCGAAAGGACTCTACTACCAGCTGAGTGAAAAGGTCTTGAGACTGTATAATGAGTTTACATTAGCAAATAGTCTTGAACTTCTACCTGTTAAAAGATAAAATTACAACAAATCTAGTTTTGTAGATCTTCATTGGCTTTTTTTGTGATTCTAGCATGTAGCAGCACTTTGGGCCAAAATGGCTCAGAATGTTCCACTCTATCACATGTGCAGGTTATATATTCAGGCATGGAAAACAGAAGCGAGGTACAGAGAAAGCCCAATTACATGGTTGACATCTCATACATGGTTTGCACAGCTGGCTGCCCGTGATTGGCTGAAACTCAGCCATTTGTTCCTAGTTAGGTTTTTACTTTGTTTCTGGTACTGAGTTAGGTCACAGTTAGGAACTTGTAGGGAGGCATCCTTGGGCCAATTTCAATTTTATTTAACATACGAGAGAGCATGACTCTAAAGCATCTCATATCTCAGTGTTAACCAAAAAGAATCTTTGTGCAGTTTCCTGTTAAAGTACTACTGGGGTTAACAGCAGAACCTACTCATTGGCCTTCAGTGAGGCCCTGATGTATGTAAATGTGTTGTTGTTCGTAGGGGAAGAATTTTTATTCTCCATAGTACATAGACTTTTGCCACAATGCAGTCACTTCACTTTACTTTGGAGAAGACAGATGTATTTCTCTGAGACAAAGATGGTTCGTTCTTTTAGGTACATTGCGCAATGACACATAATATTGTTATCTAATTAGTTGCACATACTGAGGTAAATATTAATTTGGCAAAGTAGTGGATTTTCAATAAGAGATAGAAGGCTAGAGAGAGAGATTCACAGGGTTTCTATTTTGTAGACTGAACAGACAAAGATATTTTTCAGAGAAACACCGGACTTCTTCATTGCAATGGGTAGCCTATTAACAATTAGGGCATGTGCCTGAGAACCTCTTGAGGTGAATCAGAACTGAAAAAATATGTTAGATTTTGTCTAGGAATGATTGTTTTCTTTAGTGAGAAAGGACAAAGCAAAAATGAAAACTCTAGAAAAATGCAAAAGTCTCTATTTCTACCGACTAGCCTAAGTTTAATAAAGCCCAAAAAAGAATCATAAATTTTTAAATTTTAGCCTTAAAGCAAAAACTTAATAACCTTTGTTAATCAAAAAAATGTAATTGGACTTTTTTTTTCATCATTTATATAACTAGCTGTGTGCATATATACTGTAATGCTAGAAAGCTCTTGTATCACTTCTGGGAAGGAATAAAATAATCATCCCACTCCGCCTTTCTTACCTTGATTCATGGCTCAAATATTTCTATTTTTGGAACATTACTGCAGCTTTGGTGCTAAGAAAATCGCTGGTAGAGGAAGAATGATTCTGCGGCCCTTCATTCTTTACAATTTTTACACCATCTCGTTGTCTAACTTTGCAATCTCGCCATCTAGTGTTCAAAGGTTCTCAATACCATACTTTATAAAATGCTTCACTTCATTAAAAGCAAAACAGTAAAGTGCTAGGCAATTTACCTTAAAAACAGTGTGTTTGGGAACAGCCAATGTAATATATAGATCATCTATGAAACTTCAAAGCAAATTTTTTGTTAAATATTTCTTGTTTATCATTATTGTCTCATTTATTTATTGTATTTATTCATAAAATTGATATCTCATTTCTACAGACATGCAAATTATACATAACATCCTCTACATATCGAAATATATACTTACTTATTTTATATTTTATTTTTATATTCTTCTCTCTCTGTACTACCTATACCTAGCAAAATTATCATTGACTCTGAAGGCAAACAAATCTGAGTCATGATGGTAGATTGAATTAGAGTGGAACCAAAAAGAAATAGTTTATTGGAATATTTTACTACTACACATATCCTGCCCAGGCTGCGGTTTTTTTTACTGCTAGTGACTGTCCTTTCAAGGAGCAGATACAGCAAGAAAAACACAGAAGACTTTGATGCACATGAAATATGGTGGTTTTTCAGAAAACAAACAAAGATACTAGTGTATTGCTTGTCTTACCATTGAGACTATTTTAAATCTGTCTTTTAAAAATAATTTTTTTGGAATTTAGTTTTAAGAATTAATGAGTTGGTTGCAATTTTCAAGATGTCCTGGAAATAAGATTTTTACGTTCTTTACAAGGTTTTAAGATGATTTCTTCTATAATGTCTATCGGTTCAGAAATTTAGAAAGAAAAACATATATTTATTTCAGATAACCTCCATAGTTTTAACATCAATAAAACAGTTGACAATATGCCTGTTCCAAGAGACTCCAATGTCAAAATGGAAAACCTCAGCCCTTACCCTGAAGAAGTCAAAGTCCTGTGGACCATCAGGTTTCTGCCTACTGTTCAGACCTTAAACATTTCCACTCGGGCTCTGGCCTTCTTAGCCTTTGTCGGTTCTGCCTAGACAGGTGACTCCCTCCCACTTTAGGCAGTTTTTCCCCCTTGCTTTGATCAGAAATGCCTTCGTCTGTCCTTACGCACTCTTCGAATCTTTTCCCAAATATCATTTTCTTGGAGGAGACCCCCAAACCTTCTCTTGTTATTAGATGGTATGCCATAATTTCTTTTATTTCCACTCATTTTATTTTGGAATCTCATACTTGTCTTATTATCAGCCCAATATCTGCTGCTTCAAGTAGATTACAAGCAATGAGCAGTCTAGAATAATACCACTTATTTAAATCCCTGAGATCCTAGCCACTGTGTTTTCCATAACACCCATTAGGAGTAGATGTGCAGTTAATAAATACCTGATGAAACCAGCCCATGAGCCCAAAATAGAGAACTGAGAAGCCTATTGTCTCAGCTCATATAATTTCGTTAAGTTGGCTGTGCTTTCATGCCACAGCTAGGATAAGAGAATATTCACTGAGGCAGGAAACCCCAGTGCCTGCATCCCAGCTTCTCAAAGCACACCTCTCTGGGGAAATGTCACTTCCTGCAGCACAACTTGAGAGTGAGGTAAAGAATTCCCTGAGTTGTTCTCTACCACTCAGGAGAGAGTTGACTTCCTGTGAAGTCAACTCTCCTTTCACACTTTTGCTTCTTCTCCCCTGAAATACAAAAACCAAACTTCCCCCCTCCCCAGACACAAAATTGTATTCTTCCTTTCTTTACTATGATCCATCTTCATGGATTAACAGGAAATATAAGATATAGAGGAGAAAATATAAATTACTATTTTAGTAAGTTATCTTGCCACTCACACTCAGCAGACGAAACAAATAAATTATCCAAGTTATATAAAGGAGTTTAGGTGTCCATTGTTTATTTTCATGACACTCTCTTCTTTTCTAGAAGACTTTAAGGATTCCCAGCTATCTTAGAATATTAGACAAACAATTATGCCAAGAATCAATCATTTTCAAAATGAGCTCTGTTAAAAATGTATAGCATGTCACACTAAGCTTTGAGTATCTCTGGGCAAACACGAACACCTTAAAAATGAGTCCAACATTTTGAGAGATGAGTGAGGATTTAGTAATTCATTTTGGCATTGAATGCACACATACACACATCTGTAGATTTGGTATTGTTTTTGTTAATTTTATTATAGTTTATTTAAGATCTAATATATTTTCATTGATTTCTTAAGTTAATACCTTTGCTTACCATCAGATACACACACACACACACACAATGCCTGAATGTTCAAACCACACTGATTCTTTAATTATTATTATTTTTTATTTTATGGGTACATAGTCGGTATATATATTTATGGGTTACATGAGATATTTTGATACATGCCTACATGTGTAATAATCACATCAGGGTAAATGGGGTATGCATCATCTCAAGCATTTATCATTTCTTTGTGTTATAAACATTCTAATTTTACTCTTTTAGTTGTTTTTAAATGTATAATAGATTATTGTTGACTGTAGCCACCCTTTTGTGCTATCAAATACTAGATCTTATACATTCTACCTTACTACATTTTGTACCCTTAACCATCCTCACTCCCACCCCACCCACGCACACATACCCTACCCCTCCCAGCCTCTAGTAGCCATCATTCCACTCTCACACTGATGATTCTATAGATCCTTCTGGGCCTTCTTCTCCCCACCCGTGGTGGCATCTAGTAGGCATCACATAAATGCTCTCTGAAAACTGGATCAATTCATTCAGTTGCCAACTTGGATAGAATTCTGACTCTTGGACTCTTGAAAAAAATAAATAGAATGGTATGAAGTTTACTCCAGAGAATATCTTCACACTTCTCTCTCCGCAGCAACACAGATGTACACACGGTGGCATCACTTCTTAAGCTGTATCTCCGAGAACTTCCAGAACCAGTTATTCCTTATGCGAAGTATGAAGATTTTTTGTCATGTGCCAAACTGCTCAGCAAGGAAGAGGAAGCAGTAAGTTGATGCATTTGTTTCCAAATAAACTTTTGTTTGGAATTTTTGTCTTTCTTCTTAGTCTTAAGTCTGCAAATTTCCATTGCCCTATCCCAGTGTTATTCTCCACTAGCCAATGTATTGACCTCACACACACTGAGACTTTCCATATACAGCTCAAGTACCATTTCTGATCCCCTCTCTGATTAAAAAAAGAAGAAGAAGAAGAAAAGAAAAAAGAAACTGCTGAATAAATTAAATCAGCATGACTTGCCACTTTACTTCCCTAAATGGTAAACGCAGTGCTATGTCAGGCCACATATCACACAAAAAGGTGACTGCTGGCTAGACAAGGTGGCTCACGCCTATAATCTCAGCACTTTGAGAGGCCACGGTGAGTGGATTGCCTGAGGTCAGGAGTTCAAGACCAGGCTGACCAATATGGCAAAACCCTGTCTCTACTAAAAATACAAAAATTAGCCAGGCATGGTGGTGCATACCTATAATCCCAGCCACTTGGGAGGCTGAAGCAGGAGAATTGCTTGAATCTGGGTTGCAGTGAGCCAAGATCTAGTCACTATATCCTGGGCTACATTCTGAGACTCTGTCTCAAAATAAAGTGACTGCAGTGTCTCATTATCTTTTAATTGTGTTGACCAAAATCACTTCAAACAGTGGCTTGTATACAAAATCCTACCTACTGTTATTTCTTGAAACAATTTTGTTAAGATATAATTTTTATACAATACAATCACTGATTTAAAATGTACAATTCGGTGTTTTCAGTATATTCTCAGAGTTGTGCAACCATCGCCAAAATCTAATTTTAGAATAGTTACAATATTTTTATTGCCTCAAAATAAACCTCATACCTTCTGTTAGTCCTCCTTTCTTCCCCAGCTTTTGGCAGCTACTAATTTATTTTCTGTTTCTCTGGACATTCTGTATAAATGGAAGCATTCAACCTTTTTTGTGTGTGTACACAATTGGCTTCTTTCACTGTTTTCAAGGTTTTCTCATGTTGTGCCACTTATCAGTATTTCATTCCTTTTATTTCTAAACAATATTCCGTTATTCATTTATTCATCAGACAGACCTTTGTTTTTTTTTTCTTTTTTCATTATTTGGCTACTCTGAATTATGCTGTTGTGAACATCCATGTACAAAGTTTTGCATACACCTATGTTTGTCTTTCTCTTGGATATACACCTAGAAGGTAGAACTGTTGGGCCATATGTAACTCTGTGTTTTTTCAAAAGGGCTCCAGCATTTTAAATTCCCACCAACGAGTGCAGATTCTGATTTCTTCAAATCTTTTCCATCACTTGTTACCTGTCTTTTTTGTCCTAGCCATCCCAACATGAGTAAAGTCATATCTCGTTGAAGGTTGAATGGCATTTCCCTGATGGCTAATGAGGTTGAACATCTTTTCATGTACTTATTGGATATTGGTATATTTTCTTTGGAGAGATATCTGTTCAGATTATGTCCTCATTTTTAACTGGATTATTCACCTTATTATTAATAGTATTGAGTTGTAAGAGTTTATATAGTTTAGATACATGTCCCTTATAAATATGATTTTCAAATATTTTCTCACATTCTGTGGGTTGTCTCTTTATTTTCTTAATGGTATCTTTTGAAACACAAAAGTTGTAAACTTTGGCGAAGTCAAATTTATCTATTTTTAATCAGTTGTGTTTTTGTGTCATATCTAAGAAGATATTGCTTAATACAGGGTCACAAAGAATTATTCCTATATTTTCTTCTAAGACTTCTATCACTTCAGCTGCTACATTTAGATCTGTGATTCACTTGGAGTTCGTTTTTGTTTTTGGTGTGAGGAAAGGAACAAACTTAATTTTTCTTCATGTGGATATACAGTTGTCCCAGCACCGTTTGTTAAAGACTATTCTTTCCCCATTAGATTTTCTTGACTCTCATGTCAAAAACTGCTGCCTATTTTTATAAATGCAGTTTTATTCCATTTGTTATGTAATATTGACTGTGGCTGCTTTTGTACTATAACAGAACAGTTGAGTGGTTGCAAACAGAGATCATTTGTCCCATAAAGCCTAAAATATTTACTATCTGGACCTTTATGGGGAGAAGAAGAAAGCAAATTACATTATCCATTGGCTTTTCTGGTATCATTTACATATTAGGGGAAGTCATACAATGAGAAGAACCAAATAAAGTAGTTCTTTGTGAAATTTCCAGAAAGATCACTTTTTCCAATCATACTCTCTCCCCAAATGATGTATCCTAAGCATGACCAGCACTGAGAGACTTTTATTTGTCAGTAGATGTGTCTGTCTATGTTCTGCACATGCTAAAAATGGCAAGGATCCTTACTACATGGCTTAATTTTTTTCAAATAACCTTATTAATAAACAAGCTTATCTTCTCTTTTCAGGCAATTGCAAGCACATGTTAAAAATGATATACAACTTCATTTAAACCTGTCTCTCCACAAATAGTACTTATGGAGATATTTAAAATGCTTGTACATCTTTGAAAATGTTTCTAAATTATTCATTGTGATGGTGGTAAGTTTTCAGGACAAAATCTTTCATTGATGACATGTGAAACTAATGTTTTAAGAAAATCATATGGCCATTTCCCATTTGCTTTAATTCTAAGGCCAACATGTAGAAAGATAATACTTATTTTCTTTTTTGTACTCAGGGTGTTAAGGAATTAGCAAAGCAGGTGAAGAGTTTGCCAGTGGTAAATTACAACCTCCTCAAGTATATTTGCAGGTAAGAACTGTCCTAAGGACAAACATAAACAAAAAAAGACATATTTAGCCTGATACTAGTTTGTGTTTGACAATGAATAAAATCACTCAACTATTTTGATCCCTCGTGTTGGCCTCTGTAAAATTAAAAGGTTGGACAAGGTGATCCCAAAGACTTCTTTGAGCATTAAATTCCTTGATTCTAAAATTTGATGTTTCTGAAGTTTTTCTTGCCTCTACACATTAAAGATATGTTGTTTTGAACTTCCATCAAGTTGTTTGTACTTTTCCAGGAGTGGCATTGTTTAGGAAAAGAAGCATGCTATCTTAGCATGGGAAAGGTCTGCATGGGAGCCAAGATCATGTCATTGACTAGTTGCCTGTCTTTATGCAATTCCCTTATTCTTTCTGAGTCTCAGGGTCCTAATAAGTAAAATGGTAGTGAAAACACATATTTCATGTAGTTATTTTAAAAATTGAATTATATTTTAAATGATTAATATATAGTAAGTGTTCAGTAAATGCTATTTTCTTTTCATTTCTCTCCCACCTCAGGATTCATCAAAAAGACATTTAACTGAATTGTTAGAAAAATAATTGTGCCTGCAAAATCTCTCTCTCAGTGTATAACTCAAAGCCTGGGATGGGATATGTCATGTATATGCTCCTGTTTAAGAAACAAATATGCAAAATTGAAACAGAATAAACTTAAATAGAGAGTGATGATTGACACTACAAGTCACTGCAGGACGTCTTTCACGATGGCTTCCCAGTCTATTTTAAAATAGAATTCAAAGTTTTAATTCAATACAGTGCATCATTTATGTATGTGTTTGGAGTTATGATTAGATAAGTGTTCAACGGACTAGGAACTATGAAGTCTAAGACTAGTATCAGACATTTTGGTGGTAAGTTTCAATGTAACTGAGTAGAAATTCCAAATTCTCCCACAATAATTTTCTCTAGTGATGGCTATACTTAGAAGCAAATGGGACCTTGGGTTCCAGAATTTGAAAAAGCGGGAAATCATACCACTGACAGCTTAGACTTATTAATACGGAGGGTTATAATCCAAAGATTTTGAACTAATTTGAGTTATTCTAGTGGATGAGACTACATTCTCCTTAAGTAAAAGAGAAGAAAAAGAGATTACATTCTCCTAAAGAGAAGAAAAAGAGATTACATTCTCCTAAAGTAAAAGGGACTAAAAAGCTTCTTTGGAACCACATTTTAAGTCTTTATCTCTGCAATAGAAAGGCCTAACTTTCTTGAAATAATTAAGCAGACTTTTAATTTCAGGTATTTTAAATAAGAAACACTAGTTTAATGTTTTGCCTTCAATGTTGCTATAGTTTAGGCTGTATAACAGTAATGAATGTGTGGAAATAGGCACCTTTTTAGAAAGTCATGATATAGTAGTTAAGGGTACAGCCTCTGACGTCATATCCTCTGGCGGGTTCAAATCTTAGCTTTGCCCCTTACTAACTCTGTCTTTGGAGAAATCTTCCATCTGGTACCACATGACTCTCATCTATAAAACAGAGACAATAATGGTACAATAATGGTACCTATCTCACAGACATACTTTTAGAATTTAGTAACTTAGCACCATGACTGACACATAATAGTACTATATAAATGTGTTATTTTGATTTTTCATTATTTACTTTCTATCTCATCAGTACAATTAGCAAGCTCTTGTATACATGAAATAAAAGAAGCTCTTGTATAAATGAAGAGGAGGTAGGGAATGAAGAAATGCTGAAAGATTATGAAAACAGTCTATACTATTCTATGCCCCTTATTTTTTAGCGCCTAATAAGTTGAAACATTTTGCATTTGCAATTTTTTATATCATTAGAAATGATGTTTTAATTTCTACTGTATTTTATCTCATTTCTTCAATATTATAAATTTGAAGCTCGCAAATGCTCTACAAAGAGGGTTAATTCCTTCTGTCTAAAATAAGTCATTCTACTAGCTGATCTTATCTACTGTTCTCTAATTGAATATAGATATGAATTATTACTTGATTGAGGGATTGGAAGGGAATCCACATTGTTGACTCTCAATTCCATATTAGCATTGTCCAAACATACCTGTTCCTTTGACTGACAGAAGAAACCAAACCAGGCCAGGCCAAAACAGATAGTTGATATGATATGTAAAGTTTGATCTTTCCTAATTTGCAATATATTTTCCCTGTGTTTGAGTGAGAAATGTGTGAGCATCCACATAATTCTGTCTCCACAGTCATCTTTGAACCTACTCCAGTTTGTAAATTTTCTAATGATTGATTATTCTTCCACTGGCAAATTTGATCCCATTGTGTTTTGATCATATGCTCACACTCTGTAGGTTCTTGGATGAAGTACAGTCCTATTCGGGAATTAACAAAATGAGTGTGCAGAACTTGGCAACTGTCTTTGGTCCTAATATCCTGCGCCCCAAAGTAGAAGATCCTTTGACTATCATGGAGGGTAAGTAAATGATTATCTTACACCCTCACCAAAAGAAGAAGCAGTTATCTCTTGGTTGGCCAGAATCTACTCACCTCTGAGCAAACCAAGATAATAAGTGAATATATGGTAACTCCATTTATTAACTAAAGTTCTCTAAATGTGAAATCTTCCTTTTGAGAGTCAGATATTTTTTTGTTTGAATTTACTAAACATAAAATGTACTAAATCACTCTTCATTAGCTTCACAAAAATAAGTGAAACCTTCATAAATCATATGCAAAGTATTATTCCAGACTGAAAAAAAGAAAACTACTACTTCACTTGGTTAGTTCAATTCAATTTTCAGAAAATTCAGAAAGTTATTATTTTCAGTTAACATACAATTTTTATTAATTTTGATTTTATTTGACTGACTTAAAGAGAGAAAAATGGTCTTTAATAAAGCAATGCTGCTTGTTTATTTGCAGGTTAAAACATGAAGGAATTTCTGTTGTTCAAATTACAAAGTGTCTCAATTATTTTCTGCAATAAACTAAACTGCACTTACCTTTTTTTCCCAGCAGGCTTAGGTGCTCTGTGTCATTAATAGCACCATTGTTTGCTGCAAACAAGACTAACTGATGATTTCAAATTTTAATAGGAAAAGGGGAAGCAGAAGCAAAAATTATTTTTAGATTCACTCTGGGTTTATTTAGTCTAGAACAAAATATCCCCCTCAGTCACCTGGATTTTACTACCTGATACTGTTCCTTTCTTTAAAATTCCACTATTTCCAGTTCTTTAGACATGCAAAAAAAGCTTTTGCATGTCCGCCTACATCACTTCAATTTAATATCCTTTGTTAAATACCAAGGGCAATATAAATTGAACATCAGATTTTTGGCAAGAGATAGTTCAGAAAACTTAATTTCTATCTGAAGAGTTTAGCAGACATTAGAAAATATGAAATTTAAAGCTACAAGAAGCTTAGAGATACATCAGTCCATTGTTTTTTGAAATCATTATTATAAATTAAAATGCATGCAATACAGAAAACCACCACACATATGCACACACATACACACACATCTTAATAAATTATATAAAACAAATAACTATCTAGGGAAAAAATATAGAACTTTTCCAGGCATCCCCAAAACACTTCCTTGTTCTATGACCCAATCCCAGTGTCTGTCATCCTAATATCCAAATTTTTATAGCAATTTCTTTGTGTTTCTTTGTAGTTTTATCTCCCAAATGAACTTCCAAGACATTGTATTTAAGTCTCCTATTCCTTTACTTGATATCTTTTTATAATTTTTAATATACAGAATCCCCTATAACTTCCCATTTGAAAAATCATGTTATTTCACTTGTAGAGTTTCCTATAATCTGGATTTGTTGATTTATGGTGCAAAGTTATATATAAATATTTCTCTGCCCTCTGCATTTTCTGCAAGTTAGGATCTGGACCAACTTCATGCTTGATCTGCATGGCATGACCTTTGATTGTGTTGTGTCCTTATCAGGAGACACGTAATGTCACCTATCTCTCTTTCTGCGAACTTACAAAATCCTAAAATTATTTATTGGCAGGAAGCTGAAATGCTGATATTGTAATTATGTGGTTTTTTCCAACCTTTAATATGGTAAAACACACATAACATAAAATGTATCATCTTAAGCATTTTAAGTTCACAGGTCAGTAGTATTCATTACATTCAGATTGTCTTGCAACCATCACCGCCATCCATCTCCAGAGCTCTTTTTATATTGCAAAACTGAAACTCCCTATCCATTAAACACAAACTCTTCTTGTCCTCTCCCCCAGGCTCTGGCAACTACCCACCTGCTTTCAGTTTCTATGAATTTGTCTACTCTATGTACCTCATATACCCGTTATCATACTGTATTTGTCTTTTTTTGACTGGCTTATTACACTCAGCATAATGTCCTCAAGGTTCATCCGTGTGGCAACATTTTAATTTTTAAGTTAATAACTGAAATGCTTTTCAAAAGATTCCTTCTCATCTACTGCTTAGGAACCCAATGGTAACTTTTTAAAAGGCTACATAAACGCTGCTTGGGTCTTTTCCTTTACTTACCAATTTTTAAAGCATATAATCAGATATTTTATATCCTCTAAAAGTGAATTCTACTTCTTTATCTTCCTACTATAATATTATTGTGAATATTTGAAAAATATTATAAACTCATGTATTAAAATCAGTTTACTTGGTCAATACATTGTAATTACTGTCCTTCATTGAATCTCAAATTTTCCCATCTTTGACCAGTGGAAGTATCTTCAAATTGTCTTCTTTGTTCTTTAAACATGATCTTCCTAGTTTGGGGTAGCTATTTTTCTATTTAGTATGACAAGGTTTCTCAGGTTCATGTTGTATATTTTATGCCCCAAACCTGGAATCAGTCAATTTCCAAAAGTCTTGACTTCTTTTAGTAGGGAAATGATAATTTCAAGGTGATCTAGATGCTTAGTACCAGTTATACTCATTGCTACTGGCTTGGTTATTGTTTCTAGACTTTTTAGTGGGCAGAGCTAGTCGATATGAAGGCACACTACACATGTACATAGTATATGCATAATAACCATATATACACATTTATCTATTAAAGAAAAGTGCCTCACAAGTTCACAATAGTTACAATTCAAAATTGGAACTGCAGGGTTTTTATTTATTTCTTTCTCTTTACAGTTTTATTCCCTTTCTTTCAAGGAATCCTGGTTTACAAAGACACTGAGGATAACAGAATTAGAACATCTCACAGTTAATCATTTGCTCTATACCTTATCACACACACGGTAGTCTCAGAATAGCAATACATCACTAGTATGATTACTGCAAAATTCTTTACATGTGCTTTTTTAATCCTCCTTTTATTCTTTTAATAGTGATACTATATGTTGTCACAGTATATACCCATTATACCCTATACCCTCTCCTTTTTAGTCCTCATTTAATCTTTGGTGATATGTATATAAATCTATCCACTTAGTGTTCACTACTGGTCCTTATATTGATGTCTCTTCAGCCTAGAGATTCTCAAAATGTTCTCAAAAATATACCTGGGGGCCTCTGAGATGCATTCAGGAGGTCCATGGTCTTAAAAGTATTTTCATAGTAATATGAAGATCCTGTAGCTCTTTCACTGTGTTGACATTTGAACAGATGTTGCTAAAGCAGTGATGGATGCAGCAGCTGGCACCTTAATATGAATCAAGGCAGTGCCATCACGCCCCACTAGCACCATATTCTTCACCACCATGCATTTACAATAGAGAAGAAAATGCCAATTTTACTTAAGAATGTTGTTGCTGAACAGTAAAAAATATTAATTGCATTAAATACTCAACCTTGAGAACACATCTGTTTAATATTAGGGTGAAGAGACAGCTGTCTGTATAAAGCACTTCTGCATACTGCTTCTAAGAGTAACACAGTGATTGGCTCAAGGGGAAGCACGTGTGTGATATTTGAACAGCACTAAGTGCTTTTTCTTGGAACTCCATTTTTATCTGAAGGAACATCTGACAAACTACAGTTTATTCAGACTTGAGCATTTAGCAGACACATTCTCAAAATGAACTAAACATTTCAGTTCAAGAAATACAGCTGTCAGAGTTTGTTGCCATTGAAAAACTTTGAACTTGCATGTGAAAAATTTGTATTTAAACCCTTCGGCTTGACACCTTCCTAAATTTCTAACCACTTTTCTGATAAGATTAGAGTCGACATTAACAAATACATCTTTGATACTATAAAAATACATGTGTCAGGATTTGGAGGATCAACATACCTCAGTGAATTTTCCAAATGGTGTGTTGTCACAAAGCCATTTGTGTGTAAAGGATCTGTTCGGGTTAGCTTTTCTGACTTCATGGAGCTTAATCTATTTTTTCACATCATATAAAAAAATATGGCATCTTACTTCCTGAGATGTCCTTGCTTTATTGCCTTCTTGATTTCCATTGGTCTTTCTTCCCTTTCTTTTATTTCTATTGTCCTAGTCCTTCTCAATTGTCATCCCTATCCTAGTAGTGTCCCCTCCATGCAGAGCCCTGTTTGGAAGACAGTCCTGGCTGGTCAATGTGGAGAGATCTTAGGGGCTGTTTGTCTCTCACTCCTTCAGAGCTTGCCACTGGCCACCTTTACTGGACTAGGCACAATCCCTCCCAATTTTAGCCACTGTTCTTAAATTAAACCTTTGCATTTTCTAGTGAATATCTATGGGGATTTGGGGGATGTTCTATTTCCAGGCCCATCAGAGCCCCCATGGCTCCTTTCTGCTTCCCTCTACAGAGACACTGATACCATGCAGGCCTTGTGGAAATGGGGATTTGTCTCCACCAGCAAATATTTTGGGATTCTGGGAGATACTCTGTCAGCTGGTTTTTTTGAAAATGTTGCCCATGAGTTTTGGCTTTGCTATCTAGTTGCTCTGTTTTTATGTGAAGATCTCAGGAGATGAAACACTGTGCTGCCATCATCTTCCTAGAATTCATTGTTTTTGTTGTTGTTATTTCTTAAACTCTTCTTGCAAATCTTGTTATTTGAGGGGAAATCTTGTAAAAATTGCGTAGTGTCCCCGTGCCTCCCTTGTGGATAAGAAACCTGATACCTAAAGAGAAAAATAAATTTCTCCAAATACACCGATAATTGTGTAAAGGATAGGTGCACAAGTAGACAATTCTTTTTTCTTTTTTGTAAGTACAGGAAAAATGGAGAAGCAAACTAATCCTATCCATTATCATAATTTGTTGGGGGCCATGGGAAGGTCTTAATTCCCTGGGAGTGTAGTTGTTTCATTTAACCCAGGATCAATGAGGCCCCAGGGGAAACCAGCTCACAGCAACCAGACTTTCAGGAGACCTCACTGAGCACATAAACCACTCAGCTACATCCTGGCCCAGTCTTAACATGAGTCAGTATTTAAAGAAAAAGTGTTCTTGCATCCAAAAATAATTAAAAACAAGTTAGATGTTTATTGTGTCTCTGGAGAAAATACGAAATCTGATG